CGACGATCTCGACGAACTTGTCCCCGTCCTCCCGCCGTTGCAACTGTTTCTTAGCCTCCTCCAGCTTGGCCTCCAACACGCCCAGGTTCTTTGCGACGGCGAGAACCTTCCCGAGAGATCAGAGGTAGGCACAAAGCAAAAAAAAAAAAAGAGGCAAATTACAAGACATTAGTCCGTGCACAACAATAAATCCAATATTTCCCATGCACAAATGACGATTTTTCTCTGCACACACGTGGTTGTTCCGAAATCTGAAAGTACCGGAAAACGCCCTGTTTCCAGGCGCATCGCGTGACGGAGAGTTCTTCTTTTCTTTTTTTTTCCTTGACTTCTCAACAACCGGAATAAGTTGAAAAATTTTTCCAGGGGTTTGTTCTTTGCCGATTCTTAAAAACTCAACGGATTTGGACAGATCTAGCTCGGTATTTTTTTTTTTTTCAGTTCTGGAAATTGGCGGAGATATCGCTGAAACACCGATTCTAGAGGGTCAACGTGATTTTTTTTTAGGGCGATAACTAGCCGACCGATTTCAAAATAAACAGCGGCAAACGATTCCTCTCCTCAACATCTAGCTCGGGACTTCGGGGGGTTTGCTGGAAAAAAACTGATTCTCGAGATATTCGACATTTTGTTGTGCCGCATCATGGGTGATTTTTTTTGCTGGGCGAAACACCACACACCACATGCGGCAGCCCGAAGAACACAAAACACGCCAGTGCTGCACAAATCTTTGTCCAACAGCTTTGCCGCGATTGTTGTGCAGAACACAAAACACGCCAGTGCTGTACAAATCTTTGTCCAACAGCTTTGCCGCGTTTGTTGTGCGCCTGGTGCGTGCGTGTTCCCTTTCTTTCGTGTTGGGTCTTTTTTTTTCAGCACTCCCTTGGGTTTGACTGCCCCCGAGTTGTACATATTAATTATATACTTGTTGGGTTGTGCATGCATGTGATTTAGACTGTACATACATGTGCTTTCGTCATGCAATGCGTAGTCGATATAATTTTAGTGCGCGATCAGTTGTGAATTAAAGTGTGTGGAAGCGGGGAAATTTTACAAAGGGGCACCGTGGCATAAAATGGGAGGCAACGTGGTGATATTATAGGGGGCTCCGCAGTGGAAAATGGGGGGCACCGTGGCGATATAGGGGCTCCGCTGAGGAAAATAGGGGATGCCATGGTGATTCAGGGGGTTCCGCGGATCATTTTGCCAAAAAATGTTGCATTTTCCCTAAAAGAAAAATTGCTCTGCAGCTATCGACGTAGCTCGACGAGGCGATCACGAATATCGTTGTTTCGCGTTTCAAACCTTTTTCTTTCAAAAAGTTATCGCACAAAACGCGAATGGACAAATTGCTGTGCATAGACCGAAGGGTAACCGTTGACGCCAACGTGAAAACACGGAAATCGTCCTCACCACCGCACCTACCTCTGCAACTCTTGCACCACTCCAAGCCTAGGCGAGATACTACTCACCTCCTTCTTGAGGTCGTCCAAGGCCAGCCTAGACGCCTTCGCAGCCAAGGGCAGGTCTTCCCCCAGCGACAGAAGGGAGGGCTCCGACTTCGCGGCCCACTCCATGATGCTGTGCGCCAGGTTGTCGTCTCCTCCCCCGGCGAAAGGTCTCTTCGTCGTGCGCCTGCTCGTTTCGCAATAATACCGAAACAGATTAATATATTTTTCTCCCTACAAAAACATAAAACGAATGTATATTTATCTACATGCAGCAATTGAGCCTATTTTTTTGTGTATTTGTTTTTTTTTAATATTAGCATCGAACGTGCAAACCGGCTGACCAATGACAATACGTCAGTCCCAGTGCGGCTGAAAACAGAAAGTGCTTCTGTGTGTGTGTATGTTTGTTTTTCCATTCCGTTTTCTTTCTTTGGCCGCTCTACAAGAGAGCAGCATTTGGCTGCCGCCCGATATCCCTGCAAGGGGTGGGGGAATGGGGGCCGGCGGGGGAGAGTGCGATGCTGAACAAAAAATGAAAATAAAAAGTTCATTCCGAAGCAGAGGTCTGTCTCTATTACAGCAGTAATCAAGAAATATCAGCAGCAGGAATAGCGAAAGCACCACTGCCATCAGGCATGGCAAAAGCTCCAGGAACGCCTATAATACAAGAGCGACCTACAGCAGTAGAACAGGTTCCCGAACCGACCTGACCGTGGTGATCTTGAGGAGCGACTCTAGGGTGATCGCCTTGGCGTCACCGCTGCCGGTGCCCTCGTTCAAGAAGTTCCCCACCGCCAGGACCACGGCGAGGAGCCGCTTCAGCTTGGCCGAGTCCGTCACCTGCAACACCATCACCAACACCAACAGCAGAAACAGCAGAAATGTATGAGAGAAATAACATAACCAACCTTGGGGACACAGAGACCCGTCCGCACTCAACCTCATTCTGTTTTGGTCGGGTGTGATGTTGCCTCTCTGAGTTTGGTACTGGTAGTGCACGCACATCGGTCGACGAAGGAAAACGGAACTACTACTACGGTGCTTTCTCATTAATGCGCGGCATTTCCAGCTCGGTAAAGGGGACTGGCATCAGCTGAGACATACAAGATGCTCAAGTTGTGCACCCCTCCACACTCCCCAATCACCACTCCGGTTGATACATACACAGCAGTTCAAGATAACACAAAAAACCCGCCTGGGAAATGGCGTCGCTGACGATGGTGATCTTTGCCAGCGCGGATGCCGTGTCCGGCTCGAAGGCTTGCATGTCTCCCGCGCAGCGCAGGCGGATCTGGTAGTTGGGGATCCGGGACGCCAGCACCAAAAACTGCTCTACCTATAAATAAATACGTGGTGGGCGAGGACGAACCACAAGGAAGGGACAACATGATGAGGAATAAAAAAAAAAAAATGGCAGTGGAAACGCACAAAAAAAAGAAAGAAAAAAATGTAACACACTCCTTCCTTCAGATGCCTATTCGCCCCCCAAGCCGGGCGAATACTCCTGCCTAGCCTTCATTCACACCTTGCTCGACCCTCACACCCATACCTCAACCCTGCTATCGCTCTCTCCAAAAAACCTACTCTACGGCGACGACGGAAATCTACTCTACGGGCGACGGTGTCAACCCCCCTAACCCCAAGTCTTCAACCAAAACAAACCGCGGACAAGTCCCCCCCGTTTCTTGCCTCAAACCAGGACCCGAAAGCTACCATCGACGGGTTTCAACAAACCCGACCCAGACCCAAATCACCCCTCCCCCGCGCGCGCGCCCATGACACACGGAAACCCCCGAGAAAAATAGAAAAATTTTCGCCTCCTGCGAGCGCCGAAGCATCCATCGACCGGTAGGACCCGTGGAAAAGGCCAACCCCACAACACCCCAACAAACACCCTCCCTCCCGGGACGGTTGGATGTTCTCCAGGTTCACGAAAGTTCCTCTTCCTCGACTTGTGAAACGTAGATATAGCCTGGGGCGGCGAAAACTCGGCATATCGCTCCGTCCCCGGCATTCATTGTAGGGATGCGAGGTCAACGGTCTACCGAAAATGCGGCATGTGTTTACGTGAGTACGCACCCCCCCCCCCCTCTCGAAGCTTTGACAACAAAAATAATTTTATTTACACGAGCCGCCTTCGGCAAAGCAGGAAGGAAACGAATCGCCATCGGTCCTGTGGGGAGCAACGCTTCGTCCTCTCGAGGACGCGTGGGCAATGGCCTAACCGCAAAGGCATGGATGAGCCCCCCCCCGCCCCCCTCGGTGTTTGCCATCGGGGTTGGGTTTTCGTCGCTTGGCAACGACGTTGTAAAACAAGCCAATTCACTTCGTGAACTCGGTAACCAGGTTACCGTTTCTTTTACCTCTGTTTTTTTTTTGCGGTAACCATAATGGTGGTCGAGTAGATCATGTTGTGCGGGGTGGAGAACCCTCACTCCGCGCAAGGGGGATGATCGCACCACGTTGTGTTAAAATGGTCAAGCATCCTCGAGGCAGTTACACGGTGCTAATAACTGTCTCTGGAAGTGAAAGTACCAGAAAATAAATTATGTCATACGCAGTGGTCATCCGTACGCAAGGAAGTAAGCACAAGATGCCGAACACCCTTAGCAGGCGCACCCTTCATGCGACTCGCCGAATACCTCACGGTGCTTCGCGCTTGGTGATGTGAGAGCCTGATCCGGTGAGAACCCGGCGTGCTCCGTCCCGGCTTTGTAGGGATGCGAGGTCAATGGTCTAACGACTACGGCATGCACGACTATGAGTACCCCCCCCCCCCACCCCCCCCCCCCGAAATTTAAAAAAAAAAATACAAGGGGTTAAAAATTCCACCCCCCTTTTTTTTCTTGTGCCTAGGTAGGCGCTCAAAAAATCCCCCCCTCCGAAGA